TGATATTTTATCACTTTATATTTTTTGTTATATATATATATATATATATATATATATATATATATATATATATATATATATATTGTGATATCCATGGGTCTATGGAATGAGAATCAGATCGTGATGAATCACGATAATGAGACCGATTCGCCTTTAAACACAAGTCCTAAATAATCTCGGTCATAGGTTACTCGAGAATGACATCGAAATAATCAGATAGACTAGTGTGCTATATACCCATCCATATGATAGAGGCAACTGGTCTCATAATTGCTCGTGTAGAGACACTAGGGATACAATGCAAGTGATCATTAGAGAATGAGTTCACTGATTAATCCGCTTACGGAATGCTGGATGGTTGATGATGCCTTATTGTCAGACAGCGAATCCATTGTCCCAGTGGTGTATCTAGTTTTTAGACTTGAGATACCAAGGATATCTATGAGTACTCCACTTTTTGATATCAGACTTATAGGTCTGGAAGTTACAGATCTAGCACAACCGGTCATCGGGAGTGATAACCAACCTTACGAGGGCTATTGAGTGTCAATAAAGGATCATCTACTCTCGGTATCATGAGAAAAATATCTTATGTATTCTTGCTTAGACAAATCCATAGCTAGGGTCATTCGAATTGAGAGAAAAAGAGTTCTATGAGAGAATTCGATTTGAGCGAGACTCGAGTAGAAACCGTATGGGTCTGACAACACCATGCCCGGTATATGATTTCTGGAATATTAGATGAATGAAGGATTATAGGTATATGGTAACTAAGGATAGACATATCCAATAGATTGGATTCTCTTGTATCATCTAGGGATTATGGCGTAATAGCCTAGTACACCCACAATCGATGAGTCAAGTGAATTATTAGCAAAAAAGAGTTCTAACAAGTATGACTCATGGTTAGCTCGATATTGGGCCTAGAGGGTCACACACATATGGTAAGTGTTGGGACGAGTAGAGGTTAAGATATGAGATATCCACTGGAGGTCCTATCTTATTAGATATCCAATAAGTCACTGAATTATTGAATCCTATGAATGAGATTTAATAAGAGCCAATGAGAGATTATTGAGTAGAGATCCACTAACTTAAAGAGGCTTGGATAGTTGAAGGAAGATCCAATACCCATTATGGTAGGATCCATTAGGGTTAAGTTGATAAGGAACCTCTATAAATATGATGGAACCAAAGGTCCATGGGCTAGGCTTTTTGACTACTACCTCCTATTCTCCTCCTCAGCCAGCAGCCCCTATTTGGGGTGTGTGGACAGCAAGAAGAGGCAGCTCATTCTTGATTGTGTGGTGCACACGAGGAAGAGATTTGGGCAGTGATTTGAGGAGCGTCTTCATAGTCCCTACCGTGTGGATCACCGCTAGAGAGGAGGACAGTTGACCTTCCTCATCCTCTCCCAAAGATCTATAGGTTTTTAAGGATATATGATCTCTCCATATAATATATCTTTCTTATATGCATAGTTTTTGGTTTCACGAGTTTTTGCGCATAAATTTTTGCACGATAATGAAAACTTTTTTTTTACAAGAAATTATAAGATTTTTATTTTTTGTTCTATCACTACACATGTGATGTCATCTTAGATTTTTCAATAATAATAAGAGCATAACATGCTCTTGTATCTTTAGAACTAATAATAAATTCCTACTGATAGTTGAAAATGAAAAAGAAAGACTTTCCCATAACTTTAAAGTGTTAGACTTTCTATCAAAATATATAAATATTTTTTTTTCAAAATAGGTTGCATTCACTTCATACTATTATGATCTTTCAAGTAGCATATGATATGCATCCATGTCAACTACATCATATATAACTTCCTCTTTATAGTTTTTTTTCAATTGAGGGAGGAACCGTATAAATCTCAATTATAGTGATAGTTGAGCTTTCTTTAATCCAACTTAGCTTATATAGTTTTGGATAAGCTTCTTTATATAATTTTAAGTGTCTCACTGGTGATTTGAATATAATGTTGTCACAGCTTTTATTATGTATGATCAATGCACAAACTTTGTTATTAACACTGAAAGATTTTTTTATGCTTAGATGGATCTTTTTTGCATTGGATATTATAAAGATGACATAAAGATGACTGTATCTGAAAGATTTTTTTATGCTTAGATGGATCTTTTTTGCATTGGGATGCGTAATAATCCTTTTACAACACATGTTATGTGTTTCTCTTCTTTCTCTACTATTTTAGCATTATCAATATCATCAATTACATCATCTCGGGTATCTTTTTTTTCTTCAAAGTCATCTTTATGATATACAAGATTGATAGTCTTACGAGCACGACATACATAGACTAGGCTCCCCATATTTGAAATATTTCTCAATCATGAGTCGAACATATGGATTGTTTATGGTAGTCAGGATATGCTTAACTTGCTTTGTTACTCCTCTGGTACTTATGCCTTGATTTATAGATTGTATTAACTTAGTCATAACGTACGTTTTTTTTTTAAGAGTAGATTGTGTTGGAGTAGAGAATTATTGGGTAATAATTGGAGGTCGAGTCAATAATATTTTAGACTTTAATACTGGGTAATTATTGGGTAATTATTGGGTAATAAGAGTAGCTTCATCTGCTATCTATATCATAGTTAGAGGCATTCTTTTTTTAATTACAGATTTTAGTTCGTTGACATACCTTACTATCTTATGGTCTTTTGACTCTAGTAAGTTATATCTAGCTAAAAGGCGTAAGAACTCATTCAGTATACTTAGTTACATATCAAGTGTCTTAGATGCAATTAAAGTATTATTGAAACAATAGTTGTTCAAAGTCTACGGGTAGGAATCTTCATTTGAGAATTTACTTCATCTTCTGCCATGTGATGTTTTTCCTTATTTTTTTATTTTTTATAATATATCCCACCAAGCTATTACATCTCCTTTCAACTTATATGTAATAAGCTCGACTTATTTGTGATAAGGAATATTCATCGTATCGAAATAATTTTCTATTTTATAACTTAAGTTGAGAAAAGCTTCAACACTGAGGTGGTCATTAAAACTAGGGAGGTCTGCTTTGAGATGATAATCCTTAAATAGTCTATTTCATTTGAGTGATACTTCATGTCTTTTATATCTTTCATCGTCATCTCCTGAGTCATCATCATATTCTATTAGTTATTGTGGGTAGATAGTACCATATCGGTTGAAGTGTCACGGTTGAGTTGCACATGCACATCTTTTTTGGTTGGTTTATGATAGTCTATAATTCCTTCATCTTCATGTGACTCATCTTTATAGGCTAGTTACGTTGGATTGTAGGCCCGTGTTGATGATTTGGCTAGTCATTAACATCAACTTTAGTATAGTTGACCTTACTGTCATCACGAAGTCTGTTGGTGCTTAAACCTAAGTTAGTGAGTATGTCATGAATCTCTCGAAGTTCCTTGGTTATTCTGGCTTCTTATGCTTCTAAGCTGCTCATGGGGCTAACACTCCAGCCACAAATTTAATCTGCTAACCTGGGGACGAAAGAAATCAACTCCATCTTTACAATACTCAAAAGATATTATTTCTTGATAATCCCATAGGCTTAGAGGGGATCTTTATTTATACCGGCTTTAAAACTAGTCAACTAATAATATGAGATAATCGAAAGAAATATAAAAATAAAAATAATAAGTGGGTAAATTTAGGCTCCTTGAAAATAGTCTTCCGGTGATGCCCTCGTGTGGATCTTGGTACCAACTTGTATATTGTCATGCAATCTTTATAATCGTATATTATACTCCTCGAGTATTTATATATTTTTAATTTTTTAAGGCTCCAAAGTAGGTTTCTTAATCAATTTTTTTTTTCTAAATTGACTTGATCAATTCTTTTATAAAAGTCTTTTTCTTCCTGTCCTACATTAATAAGTGGTAGAATATAATTTGATTAACTAGCTAAGCTAGCTACCATTCAAAGTTTTGAATCTAAATAAAAAAAAAATTAGTTTCTTCCTTTCTGTTTAGATAAAGAGGTAGTCTTGGAGGATAGTTTGCTATGATACATGACTTTTGGCTTGATTGTATTTTTAGGATATCAATAAATCAAAAACACTTAGTGTCTAACTCTCCAGATCATGGTCACACTTGGAGCGAAAGGAGCTTAAGTAATGCAAGTAGGACCTTAAAATAAGTACAGAACTTACTCAGCACATAATTTTATGATTAGGAGTGCATGCACCCGACCTAAACGTACCTTTAGCATTAATCAGTCTTATAATATATCCGTGGCGTTGGAAGATATAAGAACATGGAATCTGGTGATCACCGGTTTGAAGTTTAATTTCTTACCCAAGTTAACATGTATTAATTAATTAAAATTAATCACATATTATCTCTTGTAATTAATTATTTTTAGTATCCTAATCCTTATATTTTTAAAAGTTATATATTGTTGAGACATTTAATCTCGTTTTCAAAAAATCATAAGATTTATTATTGAACACAGAATCCATGACGAGAAAAAAATAAGATTAAATGTTACCTTCGTAATTATAAAGATTTTAATATAATTTTTAAAAATATAAAAATTAGAATAATTAGTAATTAAATCAATTAATTGGTAGGAGATAGGATAGAAAAAAAATTCAAGAGTAAAAATCAACCTTTGAATGCTATAAAGAACTCATGTAAGGTTTTGACCTCAGAGTCTCTCGCTCTTCCCGGGAAAGAAGGTAGGACTCTAATACAAGTCGCCTTCTTCACGCCCACTCTAAAGCCATCGGGTGCATGCAATCCATGAGACCCTCTCCGTCTCCATGTATTCTGCCTTTCCATCAAAATGTTAGGAAGATGTTTCTTCGAGTGCAGTGAGCACCAAACGAATCACAAATGAGATGATGAGTAATAGGTATTCAAAATGCCACGTCGGTCACGTACTGTTTATGTCGTCATCTTCGTCGAAGCTGACGCCCGTCGACGTCGACGGCCAATAATATAAAAGAAGGGAACCCTATTACGATTTCCAATCCAATTTCTAACGCCGACGAAGCTGCGGTGATGCGCTCGGCGTACGCAGACACACCTCCGACCTCGCGTGCAGCTTACGTCCTCACCTCTCCTTGCTTTGGCCGCGGAATTCCGCGGTCACCATCAACTCCACGCAACCTTCGATCGGTAAGCCGCCGGAGCGCCCGGTTTTCTCGCAGTCCTTCCCCATGCTCGCGTCGGATCCTAGTCATCGGATTAGGATGTCAACCCACGTCTATTGAATTCTCTTCCCGTTGCAGGTATCCGTCCGAATCCGCTACCCTGACCCGGTCAAATTCGTCAATCAGCCGGCTCAAATCACTGGGTTCACATCGAACCCGGCTTACTCGACCCCTCATCACTGTTGACGCCCGTCAGATGGAAGGCATCTTTACCGTACGCGTGTCGGCCGAGTAGTGGGGCTTGAGGCGATTACAAAAGGAAGACGCAGCTTCCTCTCGCTCGCTCCCTCTCGCTTCGTTCCATTGTGGCGTCTCGAGGGTGCGCTGCTCGCTCGCTTGAGGTTCTCGCGATCGGTCGGTTTCCTTTTGGTCCAAGAAAGAGGCACTCGTCGGTCTCCTCTTCCTCGTCCCTCGATTGTTCTCGTTGTGTAAGTCTCTGTGTACTTTCGATGTTTTATGTTTATATGTATTGAAGATTAAGCGCATCGTGGATATCCGATGGATGACGCCTAACTTTCTTGGATCGATCCGCGGTTTCCTCATCAGAGGCTTGGGGATGATTGATAGAGTGTGTGTTGTAATTGAGATGCAATATTGATTCTGTTTTCGCTACCTGGTGATGTTTCGTACAATTCTGATTTCGTGTGGATCTTATTAACATGTCATCGAGAAGCGTCAGGATTTGGCTGGAAGAATTCTAGCTTGGATATGTATAGGATTTCTTATACATGTGAAGTGGTACACTTCAATAGATCCTATCTGCTACTAATTTTTCCTTAGATTCAGATTTTAGCACTTATCATTAAAATTGAATTACTATTTAACGCGAAGAATGACAGAAGGATCATGATCAGATTGCATTTTGACACTTTAAATACTATTTGATCAACACACTGTTGACCTTGAGTCGCTGTTATCCCCTACCTTTTCCTTTTTTATTTATTTCGGCTCCTTTTTCCTTTTTTTTTTTTTGCCTTTTCTTGGTGGAAAGAAGCTAAAAGGAAAGGGGATGGGGACCTTTTAACCACTTGCACTTTTCAAGAACAAGCAACTAAAAATTTTCTGCCGGCTTTCTCTAAACTGCACCGTAAGAGCTCGGCATGTGCTTTTTGACATCTTGTCTTATATTGAATGCTTCTCATCAAAATATTTGTCAATTGACCGATGAATGGCTAACGGAACAAAGCTGAGAACATCATCAATGGCCTGACTTAGGCCCTAATCAGTAGCCTAGTTGACTAACACAATTTCAATTACCTTTTTTTAAATAATTCCAAGTGCTAATAATGTTTACTTGTGTTCATGGTCCATGTGGTATTGGCCTTGTTGTGGATGCTATTATATTCAAGTCTCAAAAGTTTCAAGAATACGGACAGGTCATATCCACATATCATAAATGAGCAACTTCACTTTCCTTTTAATCCAAATACATTTCTCATTTTTGTAGCTTAACTTTGGCAATTTTTTCTTGATTTATTAGATCTTTAGTTGTCTCTAAAATCATTTTTCAATAAGTATGATAATAAATGACTATATAGTTTGACATGTTTTGAAATGCAAGTATAACGCTTCAAGGGAAGTTTTGGGATCGCTAGTGGATTTTTGTTCTCAAAAAATATAAATCATGCAAATCTACGGCCATGAACATTCACAATTTTAAAACAGGAGCAGTTTCCAATTTTAGCGTACTCACATCTTACACATATTGGGTCTCATATTAGTTGTGGAAAAGCTCAGCAACACTCCAACAAGGTGCATTCTAGCTTACCATATCATTCTTATACTCATTCAACAAATGGTGAACTCTGAGGTCATATAAATTTTGTTTGAACTAAGCTTATAATAGCAAATTTTATCTGAATTTCATTCCTGCTGAGAAGGACCAATTGCTATTTCTTTTTTTTTATTTGTTTTTTTTTTACCAATTGCTATTTCACATTCAACATCATCATCTGCTAAATTTTTTAATTCAAGTGATGAATTCAGTAAGCAGAAAGCATGTCAGAATGTTGAGCGACTTTATTAAGATATATAAGAGTGATCCAGTTGCATTCACCCTGTAATGAAGCTTATCCTTATTCCATTTTAAACAGCCATATATTCATGCATTTCTTCATATCTCCTCAATCTATAAATGAATTATCTTGGTGCTTCTTTTACTCTATGTTCAGTTTAAATTTATACAATGTGCCTATTCACTTAGCATAATGTGTCATGCAGCGGATGACTTCTGCTAATGGTACATTGAGATCTCTTGGTGGCTGACATATTCGAGCTATAATAAACAACTCTAGGAAGGGTAATTCCAGAATTCACTTTGTTGGAACACTGTTATGAGAACATATCTGATGGGTACCTACGAGCAAGACTCTGAGGCTTATCGGTGGGAAGTTGGTCCTTTCCATAATTACCTATTCGCAAACCCTCCATATTTTATTGGCAGCACTGAGCAGGACTCGGTCTTTTATTCCAGTCGTTGTATTAGAGAAGGTACGTCGATGCACGCAATGCTACTGTATAAAACAATGAGATAATTGTATACACTTATACTAAGATTTTCTAAAGTTGTTGATGCAGATGCTTCTGGAACTGCACGTGATTTCACGGAAGATCTGTTTGGCCAATATACAAGAGAATACAGTTTTGGTACTACGATAAATATAAGTTTCTGCAGCTAGTTAAAGATTTATTGTTATAGCTTGTATCATGATGTTCATTATTGTAGGGGTTGAGAATGGGCAGGAAGAGGTGTCTAATTTTTGTTCTAGTCCCAGAGAAAACTCTTGTGAGGGGCTGTATTCATTGGATGTAACAGATGAGCATTCTGCTGCAGATGGTGAAGTTGGTAGAAGGCTAAATCAGATGGTTCCCATCCCTGTAAGTTTGTGCTGATCTTCTAAATTCACATCTCTTTTCATGTTTCTCAATTTTGATATTTACTTCTTATGGGATAGGACAATGTCTAAACTAATTTGTATGTATTATTTTAATATGAAAGTGCAACATTAATTGTATGTGGTTGTCAATGGTCAAAATAAGCAGTGATGTTTGCATATGTACAGAGACTCCTACTTTGTTCAAAGTGCAGTCTTTCTGTTACAAAATAGATGTGGTTATTCAGCATGGCACAAACAGAATTAATAATGATAAGATTTAAAAGCCAAAGATAATATGAAGGAATCCAACTTATATTTAGATATAATACGGCCCTAGGTTTGAGCCAGATAAGCAATAATTGACTTGAAAGTGGACGTAAGTACAAGGCGCAAGCTAGATCAATGGGCTTTATGTGAAGATCCATATATGGGTAGGTTGTGTAAATACTGGACAAAGTATAAAGGTTAGCATAATCAAGGTTTAGACTCATGAACTGCTACAATACCATGATAAAGTTTTAGTTAGGTCCACCACTTGTAAGTTGTACCAACAACTTCAGCTGATAGATAAACTCTCAACTCATGTTTATTCTTTAATAATTAAAGATCGCTTCAACTCTAGTATATGCTGTGTACTGCATCATTGGCATGCTTCGGTGCACTATCATTGCTTTAGTAGTCTAAGCACAGACTACACTCATACACTCTAAATTTGGCTGATTGCTGAGGTTTGCTATCCATGTGTTATTTTCCTATAGAATAAATTCATTTTACTTGGCTGTGCCATATTTATGTATTTACTATTATATAAGGCCATTGTTGCTTGGTTGCTGCAGCATGTTCCTAGAATTAATGGACAAATTCCTTCTGTTGATGAAGCCACGTCGGATCATCAAAGACTTACAGACAGGTGTGGCCCATTAACTCTTTTAAGTTTTTGTTTAAGACTTTACTTCTAGAAATAAGTCAAAACAAGTCTATTAGTACCAGATCGATGGAATGATGTTGGTACTAGTAGAAATAGAAATAGATAAACCCTGGATAAACAGGTTATTTGCTTTATGGTAGCTGAGGATTGGGTTTATTCCATGAATCTCATGCTATGATTAATAGTTCCTTCCTGTCTCTTCGAAATTTTCAATACAACTTTCCTTACTGTCTCTTCTTTCTTGATAAGAACTTATAATTCTGAACTTCTGATGCCAGTGAAGACTTGAAATTAAACTCAAAAGTGTGATTAACCTGTTAATGTTGATATCTACTTGTGCCCTTATGGCCTTATCAAACTCAAAAGTGTGATTAACCTGTGATTTTCTGTAACTGTGGTTATTTGACTAAAAAATTGCTGGTTGGATAGATGTCACTATTATATGTTTTAGTAGCCTACTTTATACTCTTATCAGGAGCAAGCACATAACAACTTAATTTGAACACTCAATTTTTCTAACTACCTTAACATAATTAAAGATACCTTTTGTTCAGGATTTTGAATACCGGTTCATACCGATGTATCGTCGGTACGTCAGGGCGTACCCTAGCGTACCAATGGTACACTCTAAAACCTTAAAAATACCTCCACTACCATGCTGGTCGGTACGCCTCAGTAACAATCAAAATCGCGGTACCGGTCAGTACGCTTCGATATCGATTAAAGCACTGGTATCGCCCGACAGAGGGTAGTCCGTATACCGATATTCTTTCGGACCGGTATGTACCCCCCATACTGGGTGGTACATATCAAAATTGAGAACTCGGCTTTTGTTAATGCCTGTGGCCATATGGTTAGGATTATTTCCATGTTTCTGCATCATGTACTCTCTAAAAGATGTGTAAATTTAATACTCATAGATAGATAGTTTGGACAAGCTTCATTTATTTAATTTTTCTTTTTCACTAGTATATTTGTGTCTATGAAGCATAGTTTCTAATGCAAAATACCAAATATCATATGATAGATATACCTGTGTCAAAATCCAGCAATAACATTCTAAAGGCTTGCCAATATTTTACATTGTTGAGAGTGTGAAATTATGAAACATGATAAAAATGGCTATCGTCCTTATTAATTGAGAAATAATTTAAATTCTAACAACAGATGCTCAAAATATGTAGAAAAGATAATCAAATAATATGGTTATATGCTATCTTCTTTATCATCAAACCATATTATTCAAGCAGGAGGTGTACCTAAGAGATATCTACAGAGTACATACCAAGCCTCCTTAAAGAATTGACTTTTGTTAATGATTTAAAAAATCTAATATTTCTAAAAAGTATCTGCATATATTCTAGAAATATTTGATGAATTGAGTTGTCACCCATGTTCACTGCAGTTACGAGTATTTAAAGGCATCCATTTTTATTAAATTTTCCTGGTTAACTCATCCATCTTCAAGGAGTTACTTTGCAGGTTCTAATCTTTCTCTAAATGGTTGTTCATTGTTTGCATTGCAGGTTGCAGTTGTATGACTTGATTGAGCATAAGGTCCAAGGAGATGGTAACTGTCAGGTTAGTCATGCCAAATTATTCCTTAAATGACATAGTTGTGTTCTGGGGAAACCTGATTCTATATAAGCTTGCCCAATAGTCACACTCGATTGCTAGGGCAGTGCTTTCTCTATTACTGAAACCATTATGCATTTGATTCGTTTCCTTTTTAATGATCAACCATTTACCTTGCTTTTCTGGAAAGCTGGTTCTCAAAGGTTTGCAGGAGACACTGGTTCTAGTTTTGACTATGAGATTTGGTATCAAGATCAGATTGGATTGACCAGATGAATTGTCAAGTCAGATTTTGGGATGAGATTAAATATGACAACTGCAAATATGTGGGACTAATGGGTTGTCAGAGTTAAAAAGAAAAGGGACATCAGAAATCCAGATTAGCTGATGCAGTTGAATTCTATTTTTTGTAGAGATAGATTTTGGGCAATAATTAGGCATTTCACTAGTTACTCATAGTTGGTAAGCTTCCAACTTTGGACAAAGAATTATTTTAAGAAAGCAATAAGGACCTGACCTTGACAGTATAGGTCCAGACTAACTTATCGGCTGTGTTTCAAGAATCTGACCCTAATAATAGCTGGCCCTTACATGAAATGGACATGTTCTATTTCGCAACTATGATTTGATTCTTTAGGGCAGTCATTTCTCTTTTTATCCAAGACCTGACATTAGTACTAGTGCATGTTTCTCCAGTTCCGGGCACTGTCTGATCAATTATATCAAACACCTGAACACCATGAGTTTGTGAGACAGCAAGTTGTTGATCAGGTTGGTTTTTTATTCTCTTAATATTATTCTCAGTATCTTTCTTATGCACTTATCATGTTTTAACTAGCAAAATGTGCTTTTTTGTTTTTCAGCTCAAGTCTCACTCTGAGATCTATGAGGGATATGTTCCAATGCCATATGGTGACTACCTGAATAAGCTTTCTAAGTATGTTTTATTTTTCATAAGATTCTAGGCCCTGATGTTGTTCTAAGCAAACACATCACTGTTTCTGTAGTTTGTTTGATTTACACTGTCATATGCAGGAGCGGCGAGTGGGGTGATCATGTAACATTACAAGCAGCTGCAGATTCAGTATCACACTTCGTTCTTTTGCCTTCTTTTATTTTCTGATTTTTTTCCATTCTGATTCTGTTTTCTTGTCTTGACATTTTGGCTTATCTCGATAATAATGACTGTATTATGTTTGCATTACGTTTAATGGTTAAATACTTAAAGTAGAAAATTTTAACTGAGGCCATGTATGCAATGATATGAAGTTTGAATAAGGTGCAAATATCTCTAAAGCTCCAGTCTTAGTTTTGTCTTTTTTTTTTTAATCTCATTACATGTCAAAGGTGGACTGCGAAATAGAGATCAAGTTTGTTCAAAGTTAAATTTAGTTTGCTAGGATGTGTCAGTGGGAAATGATTTTGGAACAATATCACTATCTCGAGATTGATGTTTTCAAAAGTGCAAGAAGCTCATGTTTTAGCTTAATATTTTTATGAACTTATGTGGATCTTGTGGAGGATCATAATTTTGCAAGGGTAGTGTTTTTTTTTTTTTTTTTGTCAGTGGATAGATTGATTTCAAATTTTGTCATGGATGAAGTAAAATAGATGCTCATGCTTTTTATAAAGTTTCCTGGGAATGATAAAGAGGAAGGGCAAGGGAGATAAGACCTTTGGTTTGTTCATTGTTTTATCTACTTATTTAATAAATGCTTGCAAAGAAAGTTTTTCATTCAAATAGATGGATATATACTGATACACACTGATCAGCATGTACTATTAATAAAGAAACAATACTTTCTTTCAGTGCCAAGTGTTGTGTCTCTCATCCCTAACACTTTTGAACTTTCTTTCAATATTTCTCCTCCACAAGATCCTCATAATTATCTTTTGCAAGTTCGAATAGAAAAGGTTAACCCGGACAGCCTGGGGATTAGTGCTTCAAAATAGCCACTCCCTCCTGAGTTACAGGCAATTACTTCTGTTGTCAAATAATTCTTTATTCCATGCACGTTATGTTTTGAGGAATAACTAGAGCAACCTTTTAATTGCACAAATGCTGAGATCATATGCTTAAATGTTGATGCTGTAGTTTGTTTACTAAGTTGATTCTTCAGCTTATAGTGGAGCTAAGCACTTCTATTTTCATTATTTTTAACAGATTTTTTTGTGTTGTTGTGAATTTTCTGTTCTGCAGTATGGAGTTAAAATTTTTGTCATAACATCATTCAAGGATACTTGCTATATCGAGATTCTGCCCAGTGTTCAGAATTCTAACCGAGGTACATCTCAAATTTAGACTTTCCTGTTAAGAATAATTTAGTCTAATTAAATTTACTCACCTTGAATAGTTAAGACCTGGAGTTAAGAATGGAACAAAAAATCAGCATGAAAACTAGTGTTCCAATTAGGCTACTTGCTCTTGTGAGGGGTCAAACGTAAGCGCACTGTCATAGACCCTACACATTTCATCTATCTTGATATCCATCAAATACTAATAACTTTTTCATCTGTTTCTGGGCTTGGAGCTATAATCAAAGTCGTATAATTTGTTGCAGTCATTTTCTTGAGCTTTTGGGCTGAGGTGCACTACAACTCAATTTATCCTGAAGGTGGTAAGTACATTATTGTATTCTCCAAGTCTCACTGGTAGATCCCCACTTTGCATCGGTTGCAGGACAAATAGAAAACAAATGCGCTTTCCAATCCTTCCAGCAAAAACTTTGTTGTTGTGGTACATTATTGGAACACTTGTTTTTTGGTTAATATTTCCTTTTTCTTCGTTCAGATCTTCCTGCCGCAGACACAAAGAAGAAGAAAAAATGGTGGCAGTTTGGAAATAAGCATTAAGGCCATTTGGATTACAGCGTTAATACGATACCGACTTGGATTTGAATATTGGGTCAGACAAATCACAGATTTCATGTTATATTATAATTCTCAGCTTCGCAATAGCTTGTAGATGTATGTCTATTCTGATTTTACATGCTACGTTCGTTATCTATTCAATTCCTCTATAGCTTACATGAGCTGTGGCTATGGTTCTCTAATCGAGCTATGGGCACCAGTACAACAAATTTTGGACATGATGATGAAATCCCCTTTGTTCATATCCCACTCTATGCGGTATATACTGGATGGAGCATTAGCTCATTAGCTGGTCTCCGAGGATTTGGAATTCCATTACTTCCTCTCCAAATATTGTGTATATTATCTAGTAAATGAAACTTGGATGGTCACACTTTCACTTCTTTTTCGTTTGAATGATGATTAGACAGAAATCTACAATACAAAATCAAGAGAAGTTTCTATGTTTCTTTTAACTTTTTTTTTTGTAATATACTTATTTTAACTTATCTGTTCCAAATATGAATTTGGTAAAAAGAATGGCTAAAACTATTTGTTGTGTGTGTCAACTAGAAAGTTCTATCGAAATAATTATTTATTTCAAAGTGAAATAATTAATATATTGGATAAATCGGGACATGATAGATATGACATTTTCAGCTGATCTATGACAATAGAATGAATCCAAGAGGAAAATGTTCTTCACAATATTATTTATTACATAAATATTTCCTTCATCACTCTATGAAATATGAACATTCTAGATATATTTTGGGATATGAAATCTTAATTTCAGCTCTCGTGTTAAACTATGACATTAATCGTGCAGGTGATGCTTGCGACAAGAATGATTCACCTTGAGAATTATCCTTGTGAAGCATTCAACCTTCTTGAAGATTAGTTTTCAAGATGCGATATAGTGATCAACGATATTATGTCGCTATATATTAAAAAAAATAAAATAAAATAAAATAATTTTGTCTTGGCGGTTGAACCTGCGTCTGGGGTCCACTCTGTGTGAAGCCGGCCGAACACACGTAGGGAAGGACGACAAGGTCCACCACCGCACTCGCGAACACTCCTCGTGGCGGACATCCGGACGAAAGCCGCGGGGAGAATCGTATCTCCCCGTACGACCCTGACACTCGACGAAATAACGACGCTACCCCTCTCCCCCCACCCACCGTTTTACCGACCCTGAAACTCCTCCCTGCCGTCCTTCGCAGGGTTTCTTGCAGCGGATCCGGAGGAGCAGCAGGAGGAGAGGAACGAGTCGCATGGGAGACATGTGTGGGCTCGAGCGGGGCGATGCGTGGAGGTCGTGACAGGCGGAGGAGGGCATAGCTCGGGCGCGGAGCTTTGGCCATGGCGGACTACCCGAGCCCAATCCTCCTCCCACCCCTTCCTTCCGCCCCTCCTGCAGAAAACCCTAGCCTCCCGCCCATCCGTTCACCCGCCTCGGATCCCCCCGCGCGAGGGGCGCTCTCCACCCGGCGTGGTCGCGGTCTCGTCGCTGACTCCAATCTCGTCGATCAGGCCCCGGAGGCCCCTGCATTGCCCTCGTTGTTGAATCTCGCCGCCCGCCTGTTTGCTTCCTCTTTGGATCTTGGGTCTCGGTTTCCGGTTATTCTTGGGTTTCTTGATTCTTGTTCGGAGGTTCTTGGAGATGTCGGAGCGGCTGAAGTTTCTGTACATTGTGGTGGTGGACGACGGCGAGACGGGAGGAGTCGGTGGCGAGAGAGGGAAGGGGATGGCGAGCGAGGATAACAGGAGCTTGTCGTTTCGGTATACGCGGTCGGTGCTACAGAGCACGCTGCAGCTCATGGGCTGCAAGGCACGTCATGCCTTCAAGGTTGGTAGTAGAGGAGCGGGTGGTAGATTTTGATCTCACGCATGCTCCTATTGTCCTCTAAAACCGACCGTAATTAGTCTCTTCAGAAGAACTTTCTTGCTTTTGGTATATCATTGACATCTTGAGATCTGAATGAAACATGTTATTTAATGTTCTTATTTCGTAGATTAGCCGAAGGGTATTTGAAGTGATGAGGGATGAGTCCTCAGTTGATGATTTGCCGTCTGATGCCACAAGCTCAAATGACTGGCGGATTCCATCCAATGCAGAATATGAATCTAATGAAACTGGTGGATTAGACCAGGCAAACATGACTAATGACTTGATTCAAGAGAATGTAGATACGACTTGTGGAATTCCTTTCGAATTGTACAAAAGGCTAACAACTGTTGTTGTTTCACGGGAGCGCTTCTTGGACATCGTCTGTGATGCCCTTGCCCTGTACAAATATGTAGGTCGCAATCAAAGAGCTGACTTGCTTCTGGCTTGCAGGTACAGCACCTTCTGTTTCCTTCTAAAATTCTCTGACTGAGTTCTTGTGAACATATGCAAAGGAACTTAAAATGAACTTAAAAGTTTTGCATAGGTTTTGCACAATGTGATGCTATTTACAAAATGTCTTGTTTGATCAAGATGTGGTATTGCCAGAGATTAGAGGCTTTTTTCATGCAAAGCCTGTCGATTGTATTCACCTTCTAATTTCTTGTTGTAATGGATTAATGAAAGAAAACTTCTCAAATGGAATAAAAAGTATCATTGTTGTCCTTGCATGTAAGCACTCTATTTTATAGAACTAGTGTAGCTATGCTAATCATCATATATACAGATAAAAGAAATACAACCGTATGTGTGTGTCTGGTGATCCTATCTGCTCTTTTTATATCTTTATGGATTAATTCTGTTACTTTCCTCTTCCTTTTTCCATCTCTACAATGAACCTTAAATTTGTTAGTTAAGACTTAGTATGAATCTACTATCCTGCTTGTCAGACATATTGTCTTTTGACAGAATGAAGTAAATCTTCCTTTTTCATGTAACTTTTGCATTTAGTCATGCATAAACCCCTGCCAGTGTGAAGCCCAAGATATATTTAGAGATTGGAATGTAAATTTTTGCATCTAATCCTTCTCCAATTGAGTGGGTTATTGTTGTTTCACAAAGCATATTAGAGTGCTCCATCTTAAATTTGTTGATTGAGGGGAAGGATAACATGTACTGACACCAAAATTAGGTGATGAGGTTTAGTGCATGATTATTGAAATAGAGAGGATACAGGACATCATATCCCCTTTTTTTGCACATCTCTTATCGAATAAGTTTCTACATGCGTACTCCTAATCTTGACATTAAGCAGGTTATTAGATAGGTTACTATGGTTGGAAAATTTCAATTTGCCTAACTGTTACCAAGATCCCATGTTTCATACATTTCACTCAATCATTAGTTTCCTGTCGTTTAGGAAATTGTTGAATCTACATGTTTAAGCCTGATGAGCAGCCTGCCATATTCCTCTATGTCTATTATGCAACTTGTCTAGTTGCTTCAGGAGTCGTAGTCATAAATCATCATGATGATGCCTTATTTTTCATTCTAAAGTTGCTTGCTTTTGAAAAAAGCTAATCAATGCTGAACACTTTCTTGATGTGCTTAACTCCTGCATACTATCTATGTGAAGCCATTGTAAAAAAAAATTATAAGCCCAACTAGAATTGTCTGAATAAAACCCTTATTGATTTAAAAGAGGAACCCAAGTTGAAAATTTGTGTTCCATAAGTATACTCTTTGTGGTTAAATCACATCTAGGCATCATCAAGTACAGGGTCCATTAACATTGTTATAAGCAGGCCTTGCAGCGCTAAGATTCATTGTTTCTTTAGTTGTTGCAACGAAATTGCAACAAGTTTTGTTTCTCAGTCTCCTACTTTTATCTGTCGTATTTCATAAATTAATTCCATCATGGTAGATCCTTCAGATTCTATACACCCAGTTTAGAACAATGACACCTCAAGAAAACCATCTGGTTCTTCATAATCTGTAAGGTTCATATATAAGTAATTCAAAGATATCTGAGGCTTATATTTAGTTTATGTAAATCATTTTGGCTTTTAGTTTTGGGGAGAGAACATATAGAACTAGTTAACGTTGGATGATTTCTAAGTATCTATCCTCTGGAACACAACTAGTGGCTGTAAGTTGATTGATGTCTGTTGATTTGATTTACTTGTGAAGAACTTAAATGAAGTCTGTTGATTTGATTTACTTGTGAAGAACTTTTTTGCTTATCTGCTTTTGTAGCTTCTTGTTTGTGGTTCCTAACTCTTTTCCTGCATTGTAAATATCTTTTAGAATTCGAGAAAGAAAGGAATCTGTGACAGTTCTCTTGTGTGGCACTAGTGGCTGTGGCAAGTCTACTCTGTCATCCTTGCTGGTACTTCCAGAGAATCCTCTAGCATACACTTTATTTTTCATGTTTTATCTACATTTTGAGATCCATGATTGTTGGATTTACCTTAAGATGAACTGGTACATACATTCGGTTGTCTGATGTTTTTAGTTATACTCATTGAGTTTGATATATATGTATTATATTGAAACGAAGAAGAAAAAGAGAGAAAATAGAGCATCTCACAATCAACGAGATGATGTAAGGAGATAATTGTTTTGGAAGCATTGTCAAATGAACTTCCTTCGTCTCCAGACACAAGTTCCTTTCTGGGCAACTGTACTAACTTATGAAATTCAAGTAGAGCTTATCTTTTGTAATGCGATCTACATAGCAGAACCTCTTTATGATATAGTGCCTTAGTTCTTAAAAATTATATATTTATATATTGCTAGTTTTGTTAGATGGATTTTCTATCAGAATCTTGTGTCAAATCTACAAGCAGGACCTGTTTATGATATAGTGTCTTGGTGCTTATAATTTATATATACTATTTGTTTAGATGGATTTTCTATCAGATTATGTAAAAGCTAACTTACAACAATAACAACAAGAAGAAGCTTCCGATGATATAGGGTTGGCTACAGGGATCTTTTCCAACAGTTGCATTCTGTGTTAGATAATATCCCTAGTTAAATCATGAGCACCTAAAAATCTTATTGTTTTCATTGTTCTCAATAAAGTTTTTCAAGCTGGTTTTATGCTGACTTCAGTGTCTTAATGCAACCCTCTTTTATCTGGCTTTGAGAACAGAAGCTAATAATATACATGGAGACATGTGAAAGTTGACTTGTCATTTATTATTAACATATATCTGTTTAGTTCAGTTCTCCAACAACACAAGGAAACTGGTCAAATTTTAAATGAGTTCAACATTTCTTTTTGTTGCTTTTCTAGCATGAAAGATTTTAACCTGCTTCAAGCCATACCAAAAAGATAAAACTAAGTTGTCCATGTTGAACCTCAACTCCAAAGTTACTAATATTTGTTTGAATCTTTTTCAAATAGTCCACCATGTGCTTATCTTAATATATATCAATATCTGACCAACATAATGCTGGGCAAACTCAATTCAATTTGATAAAGATATTCCCTTTGCATATTTGCAAGCAGGGGGGAAGACTGGGTGTGACAACTGTCATTTCTACTGACTCAATACGCCATATGATGAGGAGCTTCATGGATGAAAAACAAAACCCACTCCTGTGGGCTTCAACTTATCATGCTGGGGAATGCTTAGATCCGGTGGCAGTTGCTAAAGCAAAGGCTAAACGAAAAGAAAAGAAGCTTGCTGTTATTTCGCACACAAAAGTCAAGGAAGAAGCATCTGATGGAGCTTTAAATGAAAAAACTGGTGGCCGATCTCATGAACCCATCCTTGGAACTGAGTTAATCGGTAAAAGACAAATGGCTATCGAGGGCTTTAAAGCACAAAGTGAGATGGTCATAGACAGTCTTGATCGTTTGATCACTGCATGGGAAGATCGAAAAGAATCTGTGGTTGTCGAGGGCGTCCACTTGAGCCTCAATTTTGTGGTGGGTACTCAGGAATCGCGATATTAGATTTCCCTTCTTTTTCTTTCTTAAAATGCAATTTTCCAGTTCAATCTTAGTTGCATCTGCATTTGGATTTCTCTAAAGGTTTGTCAGACAATTTTCAATGGCCATAGATGTTTTCACTCTGTCACAGACTACAAGTTTTCTGTAAAGTTGATTTCTAACTGATATCTTATGCTGTTTTCATTTGTTAGATGGGGCTCATGAAGAAGCATCCTTCAATAATACCCTTCATGATTTACATAACAAATGAAGACAAACACATGGAAAGATTTTCTGTGCGTGCCAAATACATGACATTGGACCCAGCAAAAAATAAGTATGTAAAATACATACGAAATATCAGAAAAATCCAGGAGTATCTCTGTAACAGGGCTGATAAGCATCTGGTTCCAAAAATAAACAATACAAATGTTGACCGAAGTGTGGCATCTATCCATGCCACAGTTTTTGGTTGTCTACGTAGGCGAGAGGCAGGAGAGCAGTTCTATGACCCAGCTACAAATACAGTTGCCGTGATACTTGAAGAGTACAGAAACCAGCGTGCTGCAAATTCTCTTAGCTCCAAGGGAATGCTTCAGTTGATCCAGAGGAAGGGTTCCTCAAGGCATCTTATGGCACTTCTGAACATAGATGGATCTGTTGCCAAGGCTTGGCCTGTTCCGTTTGTTGATTATACTGGGAAGCCATCGTCTGAAAATTGGAACGAAAAGTGTGTGGGAAGCCCCATGTATGGCCCCTTACAAATTGGGAAGGCTGAGCCAGTTAACCTTCAGTTTGGAAATTTTGGAATCAGTGCATGGCCACGTGAGACATGTGGTACAAGTCAAACAGGGAGCATCGATGGCTCAAGAGCTGATGGCACTGACACTGGTAGTAGATACGTTTCTTCATGTTGTAGCTCTCCAAAAGCATCAGATGGACCTGCCAAAGAGGTAAATGACTTCAGCTGACATCTTAGTGCATTGCTTGAAATGAGCTGTATCTAGCAGTTGATCATGCGTGTGATGTTGCTAATATTTATGTACTATTTTGATTATTCAAGTGGCATGCTATTTTCCATAACTGCAACTTCCATTCAATCCCCTTTGCATCATGATGTTATTCTTTTTTCTTTAATTTCTATTCTAGATTTCTAGTTCAGCTAAATTTACTGATGATGATGAACTTTGAAGCCTAAATTGAAAATTATTAGGTGCAGTTTACCTTATGAATTCCTCACAGATTTGCTTACTATATAAGTCTGTTCACGGGAATTTTTTCTGGTTTTGGATTATGCTATCAGCATTATGCTTTGGTTTGTACATAATGTTCAACTTCTTTGTACGTTTGTTCATCATCAAATCTAGGACTTCAGAGGGTTGGTCCTCCCTGAATTTCAATTTGACTTTTCTGCTTGCTACAATCTTATCCCCATGAGGAAGAAATTTACTTTCTAGGCTTGTTCAGCAGCACTTGATACTGTTGACTGATTGGCATAAGTTTTTTTGTTCAGGTTAGTGAAATTCAACTTGCATTCCAACATCTTGATGGCTAAATGTCTAACAGAAACATGAGCCCCGCATCCAGTAGTTATCATTATGAGGGAGACTGATGAGGTCACTGCCAGAATACATTTGTTTTGTTTAGTTATTGAGTTAATTAGTGGTGAAATTCAGCAGATGGTGGTCATTGTTTTGTTGTTGTCTGAAGACTCTGAACCACTTTTCTGAGTAAACCAATGGATCCACATGCTTCTAATAGATAGATAAAATTCCTGGTCAAATGAAATTTCCTAGCTATCCATCATAAGCCTATCCTTGTTTGAAGCTCGCCATTAACGTTACAGTTACATTTGAGAAAGAAATGCTCTCAATGGATGCAGGAACCTGGTTCACCAAAATATGTATGCAAGATGTAATGTACTCGTTTATAACTGCAATTGTTGGCCTGCGTGATTTCTGCTCTAAAAAAGTCTAATTGTTGGCTTACTTCCTATTACTCGTTCACAACTGACAAAGGCAGTCCACTAGATGTATATGTTGCATTATTTTTTCCTTTACCATGGGATCAATACATGCTTCATCCTCTTGCATTTCTGACCAATTTCCTCTAATCTTTGTAGCTTAAGGAGGAATTTTTTGTAGCGGGTAGTGACGAAGAAGCTGATGATCCACATGATGGTGATAGTGATGAGGATTTTAGTGATATAGACCACAAGGAGATCCATGAGGAGGTACAAACTAGACCTTTTCTGGTCTTATTAGCCTAAAAACTTTTTATTATTTTAAAATTATGACATAGATATTTTGATGGCGTCAACAAGCGGGTCGAGGTAAAGTGCATTAGGCACTATAAGTATCTCTACCAAATTTGACGATTTTCTTTCCAAATGCCAAAAGAAAAAAAAAAAGCTATACTCGACTGTCTTTATAAAGAACTGATCAGGGCATTTTGGATACTCCATTGAAACAACATTGCGTTAATCATTTTTCTAAGCTAAAGAAGGATGGTGAGTAGCTATCTCCGCTTTATGACTGATTTTCAGATTGAAGGCTCGGTGGAGGAAGACTCTACCAAGTCGGATGACGAGTTTGATGACTTGGCCATGCGAGATGGCCTTGATAATTATTATTGGTCCGACGATGATGAGTCAACCAACTTGAAGAAAATAGCAGACAGCAAGATGGCAACAGATGATGGAGACGGTGTCATGGCAAACAAATACCAGCACAATCTTGAGCTCTTTTTCAAGATGAGTGAGCTGTTTGTCGGACCTCCTTACTCCGATACCCTGCTTCCCCAGAGGAACTCGAGCACTAGTGACATAAGAGTGAGGAGGCGTTCCTTGAGTGACTCCATGTGTTTTGAAAGCCCGATGCAAAGCATTCCTGCGGTAGGACACCAGAGAGCACTGTAATGGCTCAGTAATTTTAGCAGCGACATCGGCTCCGCTAAAGAATTTGTACTGTCACTTTTTTCCCCTTGTAGTAATTGCCATGGCTCTCCTAGAAGACTGATATCTGTAATATCTTCTATTCGGTTTTTCTAGGTTTTCTTGTGTTTTGCTTTTGCTTTGGCAGTTGTGGGTTGAATGATGATGATGATGATGGAGACCCTAATATATGGATTGAATAATGATGATGATAATGATGGAAATATCTTTGCAGAGCAGAAGATTTTCTACTTCTTTTTGCAGAGGAAGTCTCAAACTTGATACCATGCCATCATTGCTACATTATCAGAGTTAAAATTTTTATTGACAAGTCATGCATAAATCGAAGGTACAAATTAAATTCCCAAGTGATGTGCACGTTCAAGGGAAAGCCACATGACACCTAACCTTTGAACGATACCATTGATAGAGGCCATGCATTGTCCCTCATACACATTCAAGTGCTTGTGGCTTTCGAAGAAGGGCATCTCGATTCCCTTCTCGTGGTTCCTCCACAAATAACTCCAACCAAACCACGAATTCCCCCCTTGCCTTGTAAGCATGGCAAATCACATGGTTAGCCTCTAAAAATAATGGCTAATCATGTACTTTCTCTGAGTTATAATCGAGCATATGGGGCTGTCTCCATGTGCCTATTTGGGATCAATTGTTGTGGTCAGTGTGTCAATTACACTTTGGGAAACAACAAAGGAATATTGCGTTTGTTTCCTCATGTCACGTTCCTCTTAGCACTTCCTGGATGGAATCTCGTGAAACCAGGGGCGAGTTTTTCTGTACGTACATGGTGTGTACATCTATCTGCTACGTATATTTCCTAGATCCAATAAACTTCGCAAGATCCGTCATCGTATTTCCTCAACATTTATATATACGATCAGGACATTAAACCAGGGAAGAAGAAGAAGAAGAAGAAGAAGACGATGATGGTATAACGATGGATGCTGGTCCCCCAAACCAAACCTGTTATCGTACGAGGTAGTTGCCCACAATAAAAGCAATGTGTGTGACCCGCTAATGCACCACCGCCACCACAACTGGAGGAGCTGAGACGTTCATTTCACGACGAAGCCCACCAAAAGAAGTCCTAACGATTTTTTGCTAGATTAATGAAGAGGGGGATTGGTCGTATGACCTGTATGTGACTGTGTTCATGACATGATATGACACACCAAAGCTCTAAATACGTGGATCATATTGCTCGAAGAAGGCACCGCAGATGAGCAGAGAAGATGCATGTCTTGACAAGTAGAATAACAGTGATCCACAGCGTCCTTCTCCTTCCCTCTCTCTACCCTTCGCCCGTCTCTTTCTTTCCTTTGAGATCCCAAGCCATGGTTCGTAAGGTCGAAACGTGTCAGATCTTGCGTGGGAGCTTTATTAGGTCTCAGTAGCGGCAGCAATCACCGTAACACCTCACTCTTCTTCTTCTTCTTCTCTCTCTCTCTCTCTCTCTCTCTCTCTCTCTCTCTCTCATGGTGGGGAAAGGGATGAGGTGCATGAGGATCGATCGGGGACTTGCTTCGTTTCGCCTGCCCTTTGATTCCGTTGGGTGCTGGGAAAGGATTTGCTGTTGGTATTGCCTCGATACAACTAAAAAGAGTACTACTGCAGGAGACTGCGAGATTCCTCTCGTGGGTCCATAAATCCACCGTCTTTCCAGGCTCGATCCAGCCACCGGTGTCGCTCGGCCTGTGGGTTCGTTCCAACAGTACCTCCCCCCTTGCAGTGCTCCTATCTTCTTATTCCTGTTGCTTGCCATCTCCTCTCCTCCGACTCACTCGCCTCAAGCTCTCTTCTCCCGTTACACTCCGTCTCCGTGGGAACAGAAGTCGGTGTTTGCAGCTGTGGCATCATCAAGATTCACACCGACCGGATGCCCCGCCGTCCTCGTCGTCGATGAGAATCTTGATGATGCTGCATCGGCAAATAAGCGGCTAAACAACACATGCCACCACCATCAAGTCATCATCTCCTCAGAGGTCAAGTTTCTTGCTGCCGCTTTTGTTCTTATAGATGGATTTCCCGACTTCTTTTACCTTCCATACCTTTAGTTGATTGTTTGCAGGGTAGTAAGCAAGCCTTTAAGTCTAAGTTATTGTCACTCAAGTAGATAGATCTTTATCAGCTTTCAGATTCCAAGAAGTGATACCAATCAATTATGCTTTCACAAGGTATGGATTCCTTTTCCTTTGAAGGTGGCCACTCGATACACAATTCTCCTGCCCTTGCTTGTAATCTCATGTTCGCTTTATCTTTACCTTTTGTTTGTCCATAGCTAATTAAGCTTTTATACTCTTGAGGACTGTGATTACCATGTCAGATAATATGGTGTTCATTAAGGAAGAATGATGTTTGGTTTTCTTGATAAGGAGTATTTTTCCTTTCCTTTTTCTTCTCCTAAAATGGAAGAAACCCTATTAGTTTATGTTGATGATGGACGAAGAACGTGTCATTAGTTAAAGCTAAGCGACCAGAATCATGACAAGGATTGTGTGTACAAACAATTGCTCCTGACCAAATTAAGGAATCAAAATGGAGAAGAACATCATGCACCACTATACTTAGCTCATTTGTGAGCCTTCTCAAAGAGGTTGATGTTATTTCTTCTTCTCAGAATACACCAACAGATGGTTGTGAGTATGGACATACGATCATCTTCCTATGTGCCAATATTCCTTCTTCGAAAAACCAGCCAAAGAGCCGAGCTTGACGATTATTCGAAGCATGGAGAAAGCGAAGAACTGCGATATCCGTATCTTCCTCTTTCTTCTCTACGGTTAGGTGTTAAACATCTGTGTTTTGAGATGAAGAATGGTAAGCTATCCAATATTACATAGCAAAATGATTATTACAAAAGCTGTCTTAGATGGTTTCAGTCTCTTTTGTACTTTTGTGTTGCAATTTCCTTTCAGTAATACTTTCTTCTATAGTGTTCTTCTTAGACTACCAGCAAATATCTTCTCAACGTCACATTCTGGTTGAGATGGGCGATGTTATGTGACACGGAAGAAAGCAAATGGAGAATCCCCCATTTAGATAGAAAGATGAAGCATCATTCGAAGCACACATGTACAGGAATCATCTGAAGAGGCAAACACCTCGAAAGCTCCAACTCCATGACAGTTCCAGTGACTTCCTCTTCAGCTTTGACGAATGTACTCAAAGAGCTGCTTTTCATCTCAAGAAAGAGAAAAAAGAGGGCACAATTCCATCATCAATCACTCATGCAGGTGGTCCTCGCAGAAGGTACATATTGCTAGTTGTTTCTGAAGTGGACCTATACATGATGATGATGCAGAGATTTGTCTGGTAATTTTATTTGATCTCCTCCTCCATTTTAGCAGACAAAACAATCATGTAGTGTATTAAAGGCCGAACACATGTATACCTCCCTCTTTCCACGATCGAACAGTATACCTCCGTATTTGTAATAGTTGATATAGCTCACAACCAATCTCAGTGAAATATCAAACTATTGGGGTTGATGATTTGTTGTTATTGCTGCTGATGTTAATGTTGTACTATGATGCTCGATCAAAACTATTATGCATTAAAGGCTCGTAGTTGGTCAGCATAGAGGAGATGCTTTACTCGTGCATTTGGTGTGATCGTAGCAAAGATATGAATGCTTTCATGGACAAATTACCATGTGTTTATGCACATTTTATGGCCTAAGGAATGAGGCAAATCTGAAATGGACTAACCTAGAAGAAACTGGGTGAAATAGTATCTATAATCCTAAATTTCAAGCTTCAAATCCAACATTTATGCCTGTCAAAAATTGGTACTTATGTCTATGAATTCATACATGCATGCTTCATCGAAGCGACTCAGCTCCTGAACATAAGCATATGCATGAGAACATCTCTACGGCACCCTTTGTATATTGTGATTATAGTTCTCTTTGTGACTCCTGCAAACCATTTCAGACCTCTCGCAAGTGAAATCGAAGCACTACTCCATTAATCTTTTCTCCAAAAGCTCCTTTGAGAGTCTCCAAAAAACAAGATCAGCAAAAAAAATACCCAAGAGAGAACCTAAGAAATCCACAAAAGATTATGAGAAACTGAGAGAATGATGATTTAGTTACACGAACTTTAAAACTAAGATGAGTTCCTCAAATAAGGAAGAAGTATTGGTAGATGAGATGAGAGCGTACATAATCCTTGAAAGAGAGGTCAGTCTTTTATCTCAGCTGTGGGCCTTGCAATCACTGAGAGTTTTTGAGAGCAAGCAAGGAGGAGTGGATAGGCTCAACCTGCACTGAACCCAATGGGTCATCTTAAACAGATTAAGGCCTTTAACATTGGCTGCAGGTGACTGACCAACAAATGAAACCAGCAGTACGTACGTTAATCTGCTGTCCGTGACTTCTCTACTATGCAGAAGAGGAGATAATAAAGAGGAAGAGAGTAAAAGCAGTAGGTGTGTCGACAATCACACCACAAAAAATCCCATGAAACCTCCCTTGATCTCGGCCCCATCTCATGTTCATCGAGGTTGACCAACCAATGACAGTGAAGCTTGGATGGGTCATGCGCCAGTGATGACTTCCTCAGATCAGATGAACTGATCAACCGACGGGTTCTCTCTGCACCGGTTACTGTTTCCTCTCCTGTCGATTCATGAAAGGAAATAAAACGGAGAGCAGAGTTAGGCCCCGAGTACAACCACGAACGCTACGGCACAATTATCTCAACGCAGTGATCAGATTCTCAGATGTCCCCCTGCTCGTGATCAGGCTTTGCATGTGCATGGGAACGTGGGAGCAGCGACAAGCTTCGCACCGTCATCTGAGCTGATACCGACACCGAAACAAGAGATGGAGACATCGGCATGGCTGGGATCGATCCGTGCAAGATGAGCTGATGTGGGTTTTAGTCCCCGATGATCGGTAAAACCTCGACCGTGAGTTCTACAAGAGGATCATGGAAGAAGCAACGGAGGGAGGGAGAAGGAGATGAAGGTGGATGGGAAGACCGGCCATGGCGCGGCAAATTAACGATGTTGACATGTGGAGATCATGGGTGGTGGAAGTAGCATTAGGTATTAGATCCTTGCACCGGCGTGTTCCCTGAGGAAGGGACATCGAAAGCAAAGGTTTGTGGCCATGGGAGGTGTTTGGCAGCCATGCAACCAAACCCGAAAGCACTACCGAAAGGGCTGATCGTGATCCACAAACCTCACATCGGAAATGGTGCATGTGAGTACTCTTACCTTTCGATGTGAGATTAATTGGGATCTCTCGAAGACATAATTTTTTTTTTTATAGTTAATAAGTGTTATAAAAAAGCTATCTAATCCAAAGTTTTACTAAAATTATTGGGTTAATTTTTTATAACAATTCGTTGAATTATAAAATTATCCAAAAGAAAAATAGAATAATTATGATAGAAATATGTGTACTCGGGTATGCACATAGATCAGCCTCGACTTGTATGTATTGAACCAACTTAGACCTCTTATTATTAATAAAAATAATAATTTAATATAATACCTCAAGTTTAATTCCATGTCCATGCAATCAAAAGAAGATTTGAATGGATTTATAAGAGTTTAGTATGTATATATCTTTAATTTTCGGTCGAGAATCTATGATGGATTCGAAAATTGACTGTGATCTTTAATGGTCTAGAGAAAGATAGCGAGTGTCACAGTCAGCAACAGCTTACGAGCTTGATCGCTGTCGTCAGATAGCTCGCCAACATGCGATCCATGTGCACTGCAAGAGTGCATTGCACTACTCATGGGTACCAACTCCTCCCTGCCAGTGCTCCAACTCAACATCTTCATGCATTCTGATCCTAAAGCAGAGGGAATGATGTTTTAGCTGTCATGCAATGAACCTTTGTTGCATGTTTTCAGCTGCACTTAAAGCAATATTCCAGCTTCTGGTAGCTTAATCTGATATATATATATAATAGATAAATATCTTGGGTATCATATTGTGAAAAAAAAAAGAAAGAAATCACATATAAGTGTAATCTTTTTTTCAAATAATAGTAATAAGGTAGTAGTAACCTAAGATCAAACTAAATAGAAAAAAATCAAGACAGAAGTAAAAAAATATTATATTAAATTAAAAAATACTTATACAATCTTGAACTATTCTTTAACTTAGAGCTCTGTAGATCTGGCCACTTAAAATTTGGATGAATCTACATGTATTTGTCATTTATTTATAGGTATAGAATAACAATTTAAATTAAGAGATCTTTATCTCTAAAACTTTATTTAATCAGCTTATTTAAAAGATAAAAGATAAGAACTTTAAAATCCTTCAAAAATAATATTTTAAATCTTATCACTCTCCTTTAAAGTATTCTTTTGAGATAAGTCTCAATTTACTTTGAAAATCTTCGAATGATTTTTTGGAAAGAGATTTTGTAAAGATATTTGTGATATTAGCTTTAATGACTCCTTGAAGTATATTTTCTCGAATGAAATGATGTTCAATTCTAAAATGCTTGATTCTTGTATAATAAATTAAATTTATAATTAATTTTAAGGTACTTTGGTTATTATACTGTAAAATAGTTAGTTTATTAATTTAATAGTAAGCATTCTTAATCAAATATTTTAACCATTTACATTCTTAAGCAATAAGTGAGAAAGTCTTGTATTTTGTTTCGATTATAAAAAGAGAGATCAATTGTTATTTCTTATTATACCTATAATTATCCAAATCATCTCAGATCAAATATCTGCATAATCATAGCTTATCTGAGAGATAAATATACCTTCTTTTATATTCATCACCTCTAGACCAAGAAAAATATATTAAGCTCTCTCAATATTTTTATTTCAAATTAGAGAGAAGAATATTTATTTTATCATTATCGATGATGATTATATCATCCACGTACAAAGACCAATAATGTATAAGCTTCCTTACTTTTTAATAAATAAACTAGAATCTGAATAAAAAAATCATTAAAATATAAATATTGAGAAAAACTTGCTTTACCTTGTAGAGGGTCTTCTTGACTATGCAAACATAATTTGGTTTAAAAATAAAAATATATCTCTTAGTATAATAGTATTTTTAATCAATTTTAATACTCAATTGATAAATCAATACGTTTTGGAAACTCGATAGTTCAAGTTAAAATTACAAGTAAAGAGGGGCAAACTAATTTATAGTAGTTCAGTCTTCTCAATTTACCTTTATTTTTTATTCCTCTTTCCAGTAAACAAAGATCAATCATCCTTGTTACAACTCTTTCTTTTTTCAAACTTAAAAGATAACATTCACATTCACACTCTCTTTTTACAAGAGATTTCTCACATCTTACAACTTAGAATTTCAACTAAAATCAAAAGGAGAAAACTTAAATTATGCTCCAAATTAAGCTTATAATAGTTTACTAGCTCAAAAATGGATATTCCATCAACCAAGCCTGATTGAGGTATTTATAGACCTCAAAAAGCTTCAAAAATAGAGCTAAAAATTTAAATCTCAAAATTTTAGGATACGAGTGATACCACCTATTAAGCATTACTATTATCATAACTTTTGACATTGTAAATCTAAACTTTAGTGGTACTACCATCGTAAAATTTAAATTCTGGATAGGACTACCATCACTATAGATGATACCATCATTGAAAAGGCTAACAAAACATAAATAATGCTTATTGGTTAACTCAGACGGTACTACCACTTGGGCTTGATGGTACCACTACCCAGGTCTTCTAACAAGTTCAATTTGGCTCGACTTCAAACCCTTTGATAAGTGGGCTTTGTTTCAACCCAATACTAGCTTAAATTAACCTAGAATGGCTTCAATTAAGACCTTGACAAATCAATTAAATATCTAATACATTTATAAAGCTTTCGGCATGTTGTATGAATATGTGATATTCTTTGCATGAAGCTAACACTTACACGTCTCCATGAGATGTCTGAATCTTTCATTCTATTATGTTATTTTATTGTGGTGTGTTTGAACAAGTGAGTCATGTTCTTTGCAAAAAGAGAAAAATCTATTAGAAGTGAACTCCTTACTATTATCTGTGTTATCTTTTAATTTTTATTTTAAGAATATCTTTAATTATTAATTTAAACTTTTAAAATTAAAAAAAAAAATTGATTTCTTATTCACAGAGTAGACGCAAGTAAACCTTATAAAATCAATAATAAAAAAAAGCATATAATGAGAAAAATTAGATAAGATGGAGTTTGAGTAAGACCTATTACATCACTAATGAATAAGCTCTAATAAAAATTTGTTGAGTGATATATCAAAAAGTTATTTTTGTGCTTTATCGTATTAACAACCTTCATAAACTTTATTATTACTAAAAGTAGTAAGATTAGAAAGACCATTAACTAAACTTTTCTACATCATAATTCTTAATTTAAAAATATTTATATGATCAAGTCTAGCATGCGAGATTGATATATCATTATTTGTACTCATCCTATCAACTTAAGAGTTAGATGTTGA